TGATAATTTAGTTACACTAATGACTCCAGTATAGCATAAATTCTGTTTAACGAACTACTAAAAATATAACATAACATAACATAACATAAGATCACGCCTTTTATCCTCGAAGGGGTAGGCAGAGGTGCACATTATGCCACTGTAAAATGTAACACCCACTTTTCACTATTTAGGTTATGTGTCCCATGTAATAGGGGGTGAACCTATTAGCATATTCCAAACTCCGTGCTACTACTGAGAATTATTTAAAAACCCAGTGGTACTTTGCTCGACCCGGGAATCGAACCCGACACCCCTTGCCCGACAGTCGCACTTGCGACCACTTGGCCAACTCTTAAAAATAATATATTATTATTTTTACGTATGTACATGTAGGACTTCAAATATATTTCTTTACATAAACGCACATTGTTATGTAAAGGTTCGCCCTCTCTGACCTAGGTACTTTTAAACCAAGAAACTTCTTCCACCGTAAATAGAGACCAGAAAATATTTACGCCAACATTACACTATTAATTTACCATAAAACCTTTTAACCAAGATATGACAGCAGCATGCGTTGTGACTTCTAAATTGGACAGATTGAGCGATGAGCTCGTGACAAGAGAACTGCATTAGTCACTGTTTGCCCTAACACAGATGAATGAGCCGGTAATACAAGGGCTTGAGTGCAGGTGTACTTAGAATTAGGTAGTTGTTTGTTATTTTGTTAAGAGAGATAAATCATTAGGTCTGTGATGGCAAATTAAATAATGAATGTAGCGGATCGTAGGTCACTTTCTGTTGAGCAAAGAGTCGCGAATAAATCTTTTATGCATACATACATACATAACTTCACGCCTGTCTCCCATGGGGGTAGGCAGAGACTAAGGAACGCCAATTACCACGATTCTTACATACCTCTTTCGCTTCATTAACAGTCATCAATCTTTTCATGCATGCTCGTCGGTTAAGGGTACTTTTAATTTGGCCCTTCTTTAATATATCGCCAATTTCTTTAATAAATCTTTTATGAACCGAATCAAATTGTAGTTCCAGATGAAAGCTTGATATTATAAACAAACGATCGATTCTCACATTGGTATTAATAATTGCAATAGTACTAACACAGGCGAAATCCTTATCTGAAGTTGTGGTTTAAAATATACAAATACAATAACATAATAAATTCTGACAATTTACATTTTTAAAGACAATTAATTAGTTCTGAAAACGAAGGCATTGCCTAAAACGCGAAAGTTAGTCGATGTCTATTTTCACAGTCGAAGTAGTGAATTTGAAACTAGTGATATCTTTGATTAAGGTTTCAACGAAGATTCATTGTTTTAAGTTTTGGAAGTGTAGATGAAAGAGGGAATAGACTTTTGGAACTGTGCCAAGTATAGTTAAACTTATATATGTATGTAGGTACAGAGAACCAGCTGAAACACGCGTAAAGTGAAATCGAATAAGGATATCTTTCAAATACATTGAAGTTAGTCCAATACAGGGGTTTGCTTTCTTTTGTAAGGATTAATGATTTATAGGTTTAAAATCTCTATCGAAAAATTTACAAATTATGTCATTTAGTTTCGAGCTTGATCGTTAAGTGTCGAGATTGATCAAAAAATTTCGAACATGATCTTTTGATTGGTCGAAAAGTATCGATCTTGTTCATATAATTTTTACTACAAGCTCGACTTTTTTCGGTCATGCTCGATAGTTGTCGAGTGGCTCTAAATAAGGTTGAAAATAGTAAGCCAACATTTTTGATGTTCAAATATTTGACGAAATTCGAGTGGTAGAATCACACATGTATTCATATTTATTGAATAAGTCGTAAAGTAATATAAAGCAGTGTCATTAGTAATTTTGCTATACATCAATACGTTCAAGATATAAATGAACGCAATTGTGCGCAAAATTTTGTTGGTTGCGTGAAAAAATACAAATGACGAGCTTAACTGAAAGATTGGTTATATTTTTGAAATATACGAGACTAGATTTGAAGTAAAAACGCTAGATTTTGACACACATTTTTTGAAAATATTTTACGTTGAGGCATTGCTTTATTACTTATGGTAAAATTGGTTACACTAATCTTAATACATTATTATGTTTTCGGCTTACTCACGTAATTATTTGACGAGGAACTCGACTAGTTTCAAGCCATGCTGGAGGCATACTCATGAGCAGCATTTTGCGACCTACGATGCGGCGACTGTCGCGTTGCTACTGCCCTGTAGAATATGAGCCTCTAGCATGGCTTAAAACTAGTCGAGTTTCTCGTCAAATAGTTACACCACAGGCGGTCTACAAAAATATTTACTTCTGTATATTTTTGTAAGCAAAATATACGGGAGCCTATTCAAAATACAAATTGCAATAAACTAATTTGTAACACTCTTGCAAATGAAAACCATTCATAACTCAGCTTCAAGATTGACGCGGCAACATTTGCGTTTTATCACCAAGTCTTTTCTGGGGTACATTTTAATTAGAAAATGTTTTGTACAATGTCTTAAGGAAATTGGTATATTAAAGTGCAGTGGAACATAGAATTTAGATCACAATTGGGTGAGAACAATGCACAATGTACTCATGTGCAAAAAAAACAATTTTAATATTTATTTTATTTTAAAAGGCTTCATGCACACACTAATTTACAAGGTGGGCTTAAAGCCATGGGCGTTTATCTCGATTACGTATGGATAATACAATATTATGCAGCCAGATATAAATATATAAGATTATGGCATCCGCATTTGCGGCAAATGTTAGTGGATTAATTATCGAAATCATAGAATTTCGTTAATAAAATAAAATAATAGTATTTACCTCACAATAAATTAATAACGTACAATGTACATACATACAATACAAAATTAATATTTAATTTAATGAATTCCAAAGGTCCTTTATAACATGAAATAAATAATTATAATCATCATTACTAGGTACGCAAATAATTATTAGATATTCAACATTTTCGAATAATCCGTCCACACTTATCGGAAGCAAGTTTCAGTCGACTCACGTTCGAAAACAATGAAAATTTTCCGCTGCGGTCCCGTGAAATGTAACAAAGGAAAATCTGAAGTCAATGGTCACGTCTGACCTCCTAGTCGGCAAGTTTTCTTGGTCTCTGCAAAGCTTGAATATTGTAACTAACTGGTCAACTATCTTGTTTAAATTAACGAATAGAAATAGATTATTTGAAGAAGACAGGGATGATAGTTGATCTCGATTCTTTGTATTATAGTAAGTCAATATATCGCTTTTACCAGTGCAATCATTGGTGATTTGAGCGTTTTATTATAGTTTAATGTATTTTATTGAATAATTTGTTAATAAAAGAATACATATTATGTATTCTATTGAAATTTGAAATTTATATATTCGTGGGTTTTTTTAAAGTACATGATTGGCAACTATTAAAGAAAACCGTACATGAATTTCGGTAAGGAAACATAAAGAACTATATTTTAATATCAAGCGATTTCTATAAAAATCATATAATTTACTTACACATTGACAAATGTATGTATGTATCGTACATATCAATACATTATTACTTTTTATAATAGTTTGACTTTCACAAACAGAAACCAAGGACATCTTAAAGCAATTTTTCTTCCTCAACAAATCTAAATCTCGATTGTCACGAAGAGCCGTGACGTTTAAGATTGGATGCATACCAGTCACGTCTCTAAACTCTTAGAAACTGTGATGTCTGTTTTAAACAAAGTGAAAATGGTTTAAAAGTTACAGGAAAAGAGCTTTACTTAGTAGCATGAAAGAAAACTTAAGTTATAAGCACAAATCATTGATTTTAACTACCAAAGATTTTTTTAAACTCTCTGGAAGACGTCTATATACTAAATTAAGAAAAATCGCGGGTTACTCACGTTAATATACTGAAAAAAGCGTGCTGCATGCGCGGTCGCCGCGACCGCGTCGCTGCTCATGAGGAAGAACCCCTCTGTGGTTCGAAACTAGTAGAGCTTTTCTCAGTATATTCACGTAAATAACCCGCGATTTTACTTAATTTAGTATGTCTCACGATAGTTATTATAAAAACTTCTATATACATTGTACACAATCAGTTTTTGAGAATAAGTTAAGTATTTTGATAAATATGTAAAGAAATCGAACAAAAGACCTTGAATATTGCCTTCAAGAACATCTTGTGAAAATCCCACGCAAAGACAAAAACTTTTATCTTCCAAGACAAATCTCTTTCAAAATAAGTCTTCGTACTAAAATCCGTAGTTTCGTTTGTCACAAAGCTGCACTGTGATCTCATCGAAGCTCACATGTACACCAGTCACGTTTCGTACCACCGCTACGACGCTACGATGCTACGGTGCTACGGTGCTACGCCGGCTACGAATTTGTAGCGGTGGCCGATAACGTTTTACGGAGACATTTTTATTATGGAAACCACCTTTAGTGTTGATGTTCAGCACCTCTCTACGGAATTTGAATAGATGTTAAACTTCATGGATAATGTTCAAGTTTTATTATCCCGTTTTATATTATGTGTTGATACTGTACGTTTACATTGAATACCTTTTTATTAGATGGCAGATAGGATGTAAATTATTCTAGAGATGAGGTATTTTATTTTTATCTGTTGAAAGTTGGGTGATGTAGCAATGATTGGCACAATTGTTACGTTATAGTGAACGCCATGAGTACATTATAAGAATATAGGACTTTAGTACAAACATTGTGATATACATTACTTTTAGATCTAAATTGGAACCTGAAGTTGAAGTACAAAAAGATGAAATTCAGGATTATCGTCAAACAAAACTAGTAACAACATGCCATTTATCTCCGAAGGTTAAGGCAGGAGTGCATATTACAGCACTTAATGCCAATGCACATAGTAACACCCACTGTTCACTTTTTATGTTATGAGTCCCATGTAATAGGGGATGAGCCTATTGCCATGTCCCGGGCTCAATTCCAAACTCCATGCCACTCCAGAGAATTTTTAAAAAACCCAATTTTACTTTTTCCGACCCGGGAATCGAACCTGAGATCCCTTGTTCGGCAGTCGCACTTGCGACCACTCGGCCAACGAGGCAGTCAGGAAACTAGTACCTAACATAAATAATGAACAAAAGTTTTGAAATATTTAGAATGTGTATTTAATTTTCAACTTATTTACTATTAGGATCTTTTTAAACTAATCTATTAAACTGTTAAACACCGCGAGGACACTGGTGACCGCAACCTATTGTTCTTTAATTGTGTCTATAATGAAGGTACTCAAAGGGTTGAATTGAAACGTTTTAAAAGTGTTACTAAAATATTATGACTTTGACTTTGACTTTGACTGACTTGACGTTAAAGACTTTGACTTTGACTTTGACCATTAAACTATTAAACACCGCGAGGACACCGGTAACCGCAACCTATTGTTCTTTAATTGTGTCTATAATGACGGTACTCACAGGGTTAAATTGAAACGTTTTAAAAGTGTTACTAAAATATTATCGGTCACGTTTCACCACTTTGACTGCAACATCGAATTGGGCGATAACGCCGTACTCAAACGTACTTGTAAATGTTTTTATTATGAGAACAGTTTGGATAGTATTTCAGAAAATTTTGACGTTATATAATGGTTTATTTTATTAAGTGTGCTTCGTTCTTGCTACCACTCGGCCAACGAGGCAGTCTAAGTCCTTATCCTTACTAATATTATAAATTGGAAAGTGAGTTTGTTTGTTTGTTTGTTTGTTCCGCTTTCACGCCGTAACTACTAAACCGATTGCTTTGATTTTTTGCAGACGTAAAGTTATAAGCCTGGATTAAATAAAAGCGTACTTTTTATCCCGGAAAAATTTAATATATATATATTCCCAAGGGAAAACAAAAGTATTGGTATAGATGGCGCTGTGTGTATTGGTATATGTCACATAGGCTACTTTTTATCCTTTTTTGACGCGAGCGAAGCCGCAGGTAAAAGTTAGTTCTAAATAATTTCGTATTTTATGTAACCAAAGCAAAATCTACGGCCCAAACACATGAGTTATCCTCCTTACGGTACACCTGGGCTTAAAGCGATGTGTGTAACAACATAAAATGGCGGCACATGAATAATATAATAATCAACTTTCAACCAGCTCGTGTAATGTGGGATTTTTACTTAGCCACATGATTTTTTAATGACGTGAATATGTCAAAGATGTTTTCTGACGTGTTCTGCTGGTTTTTTTCGGCGTTGACGTAGATTGTAGAGGATTAATGAGTTGCACAAGAACATTTTAATGTTACTTGAAAAATATTTGAGTGGAATTAATAAAGTAATTTGTTTCGATCCGATTCCCGGGTCGGGCAAAGTATTACTGGGTTTTTTAATAATTCTCAGTAGTAGCACGGAGTCTGAAACAGTGCCCGGTATATGGCAATAGGCTCACCCCCTATTACATGGGACTCATAACATTATTAGTGAAAAGTGGGTGTTACATTTTACAGTGGTATAATGTGCACCTCTGCCTACCCCTTTGAGGATAAAAGGCGTGATGTTATTATGATGATAATAAAGTAATTTGTTTATTTATTTATTGAATTAAGGTCTTCAACAAGGAATACACTTAGAACACACGAGTAACATTACATAAAAATACAAACTATGTGCTTCTTATTTATTTTCGTGATGTGTCCTCCTTCATAAAACTTAAATCTTGAATAGAAAGTTGATTTCAAAAATTATGAATCAAAAGTTATAAGCAGAATAGTAATAATATAAGCAAATAATATAAGTTATAAACATAATTAAAAACAATACGAAATATCAAAAATATAGTACCTACACATCAAATAAAACGTAAAAAGTTTAAATCATGTAATGGGTATCACTTGCTTTTTTCTAGGGATTGGCCATGACAAGCGTTGCATAGTGAGGGTCCAATGATAAAACTTGATGCCCTTTACCATCCACCATCCTAAACAAATTATTGTGTTTATGGCTTACTAACGTAATTATTTGACGACGAATTCAACTAGTTTCAAGTCAGGCTCATATTTATGAACAGCATTTCGCGTTTCACGTTTCTAGCATGGCTTGAAACTAGTCGAGTTCCTCGTCAAATAAGTACGTGAGTAAGCCAAACACATAATAATATATTTAGTATGTCTCACGAAAGTTATAATACAAAGGTAACCATCCTATCTGAACATATGCTAGTCTTTCACTCCCAAGAGTTTCCCTCGGTCGAATAAACGTTTTTATCTGTTTGTATAGTATTTTTACATTCTCAATTCAGGTCTCATATGTTTCTTTTATTATTTCTAGGTCACTTCAAGAATATTATCAAGTTACTATATCTAGTACATTCGATATATTTTTCTGAACCTAGGAGGTATCTTTCACAGTATGTAAATTGAAATATTATAGCTTACTGTTATTGTAACTGAAACATAAACAGGCCCTGAGAGGATTAAAAAAATAACACAATAAAAATTGTTTACTAGCGACCTGCCTCGGCTTCGCACGGGTGCAACATGCATGTATTATACATATAACCTTTCCGTAAGAATAACGCTATTATTAAAAAACCGCATCAAAATCCGTTGCGTAGTTTTAAAGAACTAAGCCGTATGCTTAGCCATAGAGAGACGGCCGATAGTGACTTCGTTTTATACTATGTAGTGATTAAAGTTTATATATTTGTTTTGATGATTCGACAAGAATCGTACTTTTGCAGTACCGGGATTCAGTTAGTAATTTTTATAATTAACGTGTTTTAAAATAATCTGAGTGAAGCAAATTTCAAGCAAAATTATCATGTTCCAGAAAATTGTAGAATTTTTGTTTTTTTTTTCAAATTGCTATCGAAAATAATAAAGTTACTATCGTGTTCAAGCGTTCTCTGCGGGACACTAATTAAACTACCGCTTAATTCATCATTCGATTATCTATAGGTTGGCACTGGATCACTCTCCTGTCGGTATTTTTCAATTAGGTACTGAGCAACTGTGTTTAAAATAATTTATGTTTACAATACATCATCCATTCTATAATCAATAGAGAGACAAACAACTAATGAAGATGATGATGATAGTATTAATGAGATGATTGAATTACGACATAAGTGATTTGTCGCTGGAGGTCACGATTCTGGTGGTTGTTGAACATAACGTACTGGATTAAATCCTAAGACAATAGGGTAGATGCCTAATTTTTCGGCCACTGAGTCAGAGAGCTTTAATTACTCAAAGGAAATCTATCAAAGTTAAGATTGTGCCATCTCCCTTAAAATTTCTGGACAACTACCAAAAACTATTCACGAACTTCCACCTAATTCAGTAACCCGTTTTAATATCGCGTGATAGTCTGACATTTAATGGCTATAATAAAACAAAGTTAGTTTTAATAAAGCCTATTATTTGCGTCGAAAGCAGTAAATACGCCTAATAAAATTATGGTAATTAATTGCCTAATATTCAACAGAGCATTGTTACGTGTTTCTAGAGAAGCGAGCTTGCTTTGCTGCTTTACATGTAAAAGGTTAAATGCGTAGTAATTATGAATTCGTAGCACAAAATTATGTATGTGATTCTTTAAAAGGGTACGTAGAACTACCTCGTTGGCCGAGTGGTCGCGTGCGACTGCCGAGGAAGGGGTTTCGGGTTCGATTCCCGGGTCGGGCAAAGTATTACAGGGCTTAAAAAAATCTCAGTAGTAGCACGGAGTCTGGATTGTGCCCGGTATATGGCAATAGGCTCACCCCCTATTACATGGGACTCGTAACATAAATAGTGAAAAGTAGGTGTTACATTGTACAGTGGCATAATGTGCACCTCTGCCTACCCTTTTGGGGATATAAGGCGTGATATTATGTTTGATGACAATTTGACAAGGAAAAAATTTTAATTTATTTTCTAATCATAATATTCTTTATGCTATCGATAATTTAATGATTCCATTAAAAATGAAATCATTTTAATCAATCAGTATTTGATTGACTGATCAGATGGAAGTAAAAAGTCATTCACGTTGTTCATGTTCATTTACATTGAAAATTTCAATTTAAAATGTATTTTTGGTAAATTCAATTTTGTCATAACAATCACGGTTATTTAATTGAGGAAAATTGTCTATCTAACTAAGTATAACCTAAATAAAAAATATTTTTAAAATGTGATGACAAGTGTAAAAATCGAGAATGATTGTAAGATTAGTATGTTTTTCATTTAATTCATACATTTGTTTTTGACGGGAGATATGAACAAAAAAGATAATTCCACGAGAAAATTAAACGTAGTAAAAGTAGGTAGTATGTATGCCCCGTATCAAATCGGGGCATACCTTGTATTGGTATGATTGTACGTATCATTATAACATGGGGCAATATTCATGGTTTTTGTTCTTACCTATATGAATGTTATTGCTTATTCTATTTACGTAATTATTATGTAGGGACATATTTATGTACATACATCAGTGTGACGCATGTAATAACATGTATTTTAATATATAATATGTATGTGTGTGTGCCAACGTGCAGCTGCGCCTGCGATCGTCAAAAGTTTTAGACGCATTATAGCATCCATTTTATACTCTTGTCCGTGTATCATTTACGCTCAACTTTCTCAACAACTTTACACAAGACCACAGAACACATAAATCTTCTACAATTACTTTGTAGAACATGGATTTGTATGTTCCTTATTTGATTACCATCACAATCACGGCAGCTGCCGCACCGATTGCCGTGCAGGACTTATCTGGTTACCGGGACTCTAGTTTGAAGTCATCATCATCATCAACAGCCTATAAATGCCCACTGCTGAGCAAAGCCTCTTCTCACACGGAGAAGGTTAGAGCATTAATCACCACGCTTGCTCAATGCGGGTTGGCGATTTCAAACTTATAATTAGAAATTATAAGTCCAGGTTTCCTCACGATGTTTTTCCTTCACCGTTTGTCAGTGGTGTCTAAAATATAATCTTAGAAAGTACATATAACTCGGAAACAGTCACATTGGTATTTGCCGTTGGTAGGTTTCGAACCCGCACCCTCAT